CCCCAGCATATTCTCCTCTGCCAACCCGCCTCCACCCCAGCCATGAACCGTGTGCCTGCACTCCAGGCCTCCATCTGCAGAGCCCCCGCACAGTGCATATCAACTGGGACAGAGTTTCTCTTTCCCTCCATGTTAATGTTAGCAGGTCCAGGGCATGGATGGATGTCATCACACACCAATAAGCAAATGAAAATCATCAGGGCATTCCTTTGTTGCGTTGGGTACTGAATTCTAGTTCGACTCATCTCCCTTCCGTATAGCGTTGGATAGATGAAAGCCACAATTAGGGTGTAATTTCATAACACCCCCCTCCCGAATTTGTAGGGTGCTAGTATGGTTCTGGGCAAGTGCAATTTTGCTTTTTGAATCATTAAAAAAAGAAGTCAGCCCAGAAAATTTGTACAATAGAGCAAATGCCAAGAGGGCAGTTGCTACTCCTGCCACACCCTGCACCATCTTAGTGGTTCTACCACATATGGGATTAGCAGAAGTAAACCGGAACATCAAGAAAAATATGGTTTTCCTTCTTTTTTCGTGGTACTGTTCCAACCCTAACAGGGCTTGTGATCGTGTCCTCATCACCAATGTGGTAGACAACTGGGATGAAAGCTCGCTCTGCTTTGATGTGAATTGATCCCTCCAGAACTGGCAAATCCCAGTTGGGTCTGTGATGGAGTGATGCACATCTGGTGTGATCGCCATCTCATCCACAGTAAGCACACACTTTCTTTCCATCTCTGTCAGATTTTTAACCTTCAAACTGAGCATATCACACACCTCTCCTAACACACCTGGTTCCAGTTTAATGGGCTACATTTGTCTTTGCAGGGTTCTAATATCAGGTAGAGGGATACTCGTGTCCTGAAGAAACCTGCAACCCACTGAAAAACAGAGCTGTATGGCCTTTTTGATTGTCTATTTACTCCATTTAATGCCTCTTGTGTTTTTCATGCCTTTTTGATTTTTTATTTCCTCCCTTTGGTTTTCCAGCTGGGTTCCCTGGTTGCATAGCCTGTTCCTTTCTCGTCCTGGCCCTGACGCCAGCTCCTCATGGCTTCCTGGGATGTCCCTCTCTCCTGATACCATCTCATGTCCTCCTCACCTTCCCTCATCTCATTTGCCTCACTGCTGCTGCTGCTGCTGCTTTCCTCATTCTCTGAAATTATAATGGCACTGTTAGAATAAAGAATAATTTTTAAATAAAAGAAATACAAATGTCTAAAGTTTCAAAAGATTGGTACCACAGTTTACTTGAGTACAATATGTGTGGTCACTGGTCAGCGGATCAACATGCAGTGGTTCTGCTGTACTTCACTGCGGGGTCCTTCCTCCTCCTTGGTTCAGGGCGATGAGCAAACACAGCATCAGCCCTGAGTCTCACCTTGCCTTGCCTAAGCTTAGTAAACTGTCCCTCCTCAAAATGTGCCAGTAGAGTGGTGTATTAGTTTATTTCCTGCCGCATTTAACAGTTTAAGTGCAGCCTTGTGCAGTTGAGAGCAAAACATGTAGAGCCTTGATAGAAAACATGTGAGAGTGCACATTAAACTCACTGCACACAGCTTTTTGTTATTGTGATCTCTGGTCATGGTGAGGTTGCTCCTGCTGACTTGAGCCAACCATTTTCTTCTTCTCTCTGCGTCTTTGGATAAGCCATAATTCTGATTCCTCCCTCAGACTGATTGCTGTATGCAGCGCAGCCAACCATGGTAAGATAATCAACCTATACAGAGATTATTAAAATACTATTTCTGTACATATAGAAATATTGAACTGAACCAAAAATGTAGAGATGTAAAATTAGATTTTACAATTTTATCCAACCCTAAAATTAGTCATTTCAAATTTTAACCCATGGACACATTTTGTTTTAATAATAATCAAAATAAAGTTACTCAAAAGAGTTTCATTAGGTCTTGAGTACACTGCTCAAATTTATTGATTCAGCTTATTTGCGCATATGTAATGACTAAACATAATGTTGGTAAAATGCTTTGCTAATATACATGTTGTACAAGTTTGGTATTCATTTTTTCACAAATAACACACTTTTTAATCTACTGTGATGGACCATACCATTTTATTGAAAATTTGTTTATGTTTATGTTTATGCATTTAACAGACGCTTTAGTCCAAAGCGACTTACAAGTGATAATCGGCATGCTGCCCTTGAGGCTAACAACAACAATAACAACAACTTGACATCAGTCATGGAGAGGAGGGAACAAAGGAGTGGACGGTGGAGAGGGGGACGGGTGCAGGGAGGGTGCTAGTTTAGAAGACGCTCTCTGAAGAGCAGGGTCTTCAGGAGTTTCTTGAAAATTGAAAAGGAAGCCGCAGTTCTGGTAGTGCTTGGAAGGTCATTCCACATTTGTGGAACGATGCATGAGAAGAGTCTGGATTGTCCTGAGCGTGGTGTAGGCACTGCTAGCCGACGATCCTGTGATGACCGGAGCGGCCGGGCCGAGACGTAAGCCTTTGCATTAAAAAAAATGTAAAAATATGGGAGCCGTACCATCTCGGACTTTGTATGCTAGTGTTAGCAATTTGAATTTGATGCGTGCTGCTAGCGGTAGCCAGTGGAGCTCAATGAACAGAGGGGTGACGTGTGCTCTTTTTGGCTGATTGTTTTCTTGTTTTCTTTTCTTTTTAATTAGTTGCTATAGAAGCCAAATAAACTGGGTTATAGATGCATGCACTGTCTTCACATAAAAATATAAAGTAATGACTGTAAAATGTATTCTACTGAACATAATGGATCATCATTCAAAGCATAAACAGCTACATGTTTTCTTCAAGGTAAGCTGGAGCAGAATTCTAGCTTTCAATAAACCACTTTAAAATGGATATTACAACTCGAGTTTAGGGCTTCTTGTAGGACTTAAAGTTATTAAGTATGCTTATATTAGAGCAGTGTGTTGCAACATCAAATGTATTGCTATAGTATATTATAGTAATGTATGTGGTCCAAACGTGTTCTACAGTGTGTTAGGACTGTCATGTTCCTGTAATGTAGAACAGTCACGGGTGTTTGTCTTCCTACAAATGCTCGGAAAAATATAAATAGGCTACTTTGTAAAGGAGTTAGGACATAATATATAATATAATATTATTCAATAATTACCACAAATCGCCAGGGGAAATGTGACAATATTAATTTTTTGTGATTTGTCCCGCCATACGCCGTTCAAACTGACTTACGGCGCTGGGATGTTTGGAACTATTGAGAGCTCCATGAACCACGTGACCGTGAGTCGGCGAGTTCAGAGTGTTGTAACTCTCTCTTTCTACAGCTCTGACAGAACCCTGCCCTCCTCTCCCAATGATTGGACAGGAATTTGAAAAACATGATTGGTAGCTAAGACTCGTGCTCTCATTGGTTCCACCCAAGTTCCTCCGACCGAAGCTAGAATTGAGACAAAATTATTCGTAACTGTAGATTTGAGGTTTGTACCTGTAGAAGGAAATGTGTGTTTTGAGAGTTTTGATTTCAAACTTGTGCATTGATTTTTTTTATTTTGGAAGTCTGCTAGGTAAAAACCGAAAGTTTCATGTTTCTGAATTAATGTTTGATGTTACAAAATGAGTAGTAAATGTACAAAATGAAAATTTCCTGTGACAAAACAAGAAATTCAAGTACAAATTGAGAATTACAAGTTAGAAAACTAAAGTTGCAAGTTACGAATGCAAAGTTACGTGTCATGAAACATGTTCCAAGTTACAAAACTTGGTACAAGTTACATTGAATATTGTCCCAATCCTAGCTCCTTAGAGGAAGGTCAATGATTTCATTAAACGGCCCCACCATTTAACAAAGGCGTTCACCAAACTTGATTTTCAACAAACCTTTGTGGGAAAAGTCAGTTATTAGTTTGAAATCTGGCTCTGAGAACTGGATTACGGACTTGTTCTGAGAACCTTTACGTTCTACGGGGTTGTGTGGGAGTTTTTAAAATAACATACTTATAAATCAGAGTAGAGTTTGACATGTGAGACTCTGATTAAACCGTCAGAGTGAAAGGATCTGAGCGGATGCTCAACTCTGGGCAACTTCTTTTAGTAACTCTGGAGCTTTTTCTGCCGGCAGGTGTTGAATTACAAATGCCAGCGCTGCAGCATCAGCTCACTGCAAAATCTGCTACCTCGTGGGCTCACAGATTGTAAACAGTAACTACGTCCCTCTTGTTTTGTTGAAAGGAGAAAAATTGACAACCCGCCAGCCGGCTGAGAAGGAAATCCGTTTCAGTGTAACATCCTTCCAAGACGACTGAGAAATGAAACTGTTTTACTGTAAAGTCTTACATATTGCTCCTTTAAATATATGTGTTGGGGCATTTGTGAGCTGCTCATCACTGTTCTGTTTGTTTACTGATTATTGTTCATATCTGATGTGAGGCAGAAGCCCTTGCCCACAGCAAATAGCAGAACAGGGAGGGTTTAAACGTCACACAACCTTTAAAAGCTGACACACTTCAACACATTTGGAGAAGGTTTATTTTACTTGTTTTTAATATGAAACATCATGTCATTTAGTATCTGAAATATTCAATGTCCAGTATTATTGAGAAAAATTAGAATTTTTCTTCATAAGATAAATAGAATAAATGTCAGCAGCTAAATGCGTCCAGGTTGTGAGACTATCTTGTTTTTTGTTAATTTATCTAAATATCTTCTAATTCTTAGTTACTAAACATTGAATTAAATGTAAATATTCCCACAGCACAATGAATACTCTACTAATATCTTTAACCCTCTCAGGCTCAAGACAAGTTTTGATAAAAGGACGAACAACTAAGTCCTTCAGGGGTACTTCTGAGTTAAAAATGCTCATGAAACACGTATGTGGAGAAACCAGGTGGGTAGGTTTTAACGTTGCAAATCTGCAACGCCTGCCTCCAGAGGGTTAAAGATCAGAGACTTATTTTTGTTTTTTGCTAGTTTACATTAAATTGGTCACCACAAAACCTGAAAACCTATTTCCCTTTTAGTCAAATTTAGCCAACCTGTAGACTGTGTACTCATTAGGAGGTCCGGAGAAAGGGTCGCTAGCATTCCTCTTTCCGAAGCTGCCGGTCCACAAAACGGTGTCGTTGAGGATAACGATGGCAGACAGAGTGGGGAGGCTGATAGTGTTGATGCTCTGTCGTAGTAAAACATCCACCTGCAAGAAAAACACCGGATCAGCTTCAAGATGTTTACAGTTTAAGGCTGACCAAGGTTTCTGCCACAACTTAAAAAGCAACAATTTGCCTCCATTGTGAGAAAATGGAATGTGCCAATGAAGGTCAAATTGCAAATCCCATCTGGCGTTTAAAGCAGGCTCTGATTTCACATTTGATGTTCTTCTAATGCTCAGATGCTTTTACTAAAATGCTTCTCCTTGGGTGTAAAACTACAACCTTTTGCTCAGATGGACTGTTTACTTTCATCCTCCGTGTCTTTAATCTCCTGTCAATCGAAGCAACATTTGCTGTGAAGGATTAACAGCCCGGCCTCTAAATTTACCGGCTCTTGAGTGGGTGTGATGGAAAATGCCTACAGATCGCCCGCCTGTGATTAACGTTTCTTACCTCTTCCAGGGCTTCTTTGAGACTGGGAATAGGATGCTCCAATGGGAGAGGCTCGGGGAAGCGGGGACAATTTATCTCTAATTTGGCATTGCGACCCATCACTTCATCTTGGCGTTTGAAAAGAAAGAGAGAAAAAGGAAGTTAAAGGCAAGTGAAGTTTTGTGGAGATGCTTTTGTAAACATCTTTCTTGATGTTTGGCTGAATATTTTTTATCTAGAGCACAAAGGCAGGATAATGCGGTGTGAAAGCATCCTGCGGGGTTTATCAGTTCTCTCTCTTCACGATGAACATAGATTGATCATTGATCAATCATTGATTGAACATTGATCTTACAGAAAACAAATAGACAGTGTTGAGCGAACAACTCCCTGATGAAAATAGATGTGTCCTGCTCCAGTTCTGAACACAGATCAGTTGGTAAATCTCATTAGCATCAGGGCACTGCTACACCTTTCATTATAAGCAAATAACAGATGGAAAAAAAAAGATTTCTTGGTTACCAGGCCCTGTGGCCTTAAGGAAGCATTGGCATGGCCGGTTGGGCTAGTTATTGTTCTCTTTAGGCCTCAAGTCTAGCCGACTGTCCACGGGACCTGAAAGTGTTGCAAAACGGTTGTGAAATGTACTTTGCATCAATTAAAGGGATACTAAGCGGTTTATCTTTCCTTTAGCACCCCCTAGTGTCCATTTGTAGACATGAAACCATCTCCTCTCTGTGCGTTTGTCTTTTCAACACCTTAACCTACCAGTCGAAACGTCTTCCAGTGTTCCTAAGTGCCTAGAGGAGTGATTCATCATTAAATTTAACAAATCAGCTGGGCTGATGATCTAAAACATGCAGGAAACATGCTGAAGCCAAACAGCAGCGTCAAGTACCTCAGCTCAATTTTTTTGAACTGTGAAGTTGCAAGTGCGTTATTGTGGCCGCAGGAGGCGATGGGGCTGGGTGGTCTTTCATTAACCCGGTAAAGGGTCATTTTAGCACATACTAGCGAAAGAAAATTATTTAAAAATATGAAAAAGTTGCAAATAGTCCCTTTAATTGCTGTTTTTGTGGACGGGATCCTTTCCACCGGCAGCAGACTGTAACGTTTTGGCGCTATCATTAAGTTTGAGTCTAATTTTTATGCACTTCCAAAACTTGTCAACCTCCACAGTTTAGGCTGGGTCAGACAGGAAGTCAAACACGAAAGCAGTGTAAAACATTTGGAAACCTTTAGAATGAAAGTCAGATAGACAAACATCATTTTCTGTGAACCCCGTAGCCGATGTAAATATAACAGAAAAAGCTCCGATGTTCCTGTTTCTGCATGGAGAATTTCGTTGGAGGAGAAAGTAGCTTCAGATGACAAATTTTATTTCCTGATATTTGGACATCTCTCATCTGATTGGCTAACAGCAATGCAATTCTGCCACTGACTTGGTTTGCTCTGCAACTTTCATCTTTTGTCTCCACAAGTAACACAAGCCTGGAGGAGTTTTGCCGTGTGGGGGAGTTGCTAATGCTAACAGTTAGCTTGTGCTAGCCAAGGCGTCCTCTGCATTTTCAATGTAAAGTTTCCCATTTTCCCCATTTTTAATAACGAATTTTTATACTATTTAATTTTACTTCTTTGATTATTTTTTGTTCTTGTGAAGCGGCTCATGGTTTTTATCTCAAATAAAAATTGTTTAATCTTCTGCAGTTTCCTGGACAACCTTCCCCGTCGTGAGTCAATATAGGCGAGTCCAAGCAACAGCTTGACGTCGATCTATCAGACTTTTCTAATCCTAGAGTTTCACTGTCTATCTTCTGTCAGAAGCTAATGCAGGAGATGGGTGTAGGAGACTATCTTCATGTTCAGCCTGCATGAAACACTCAGATTGACGATTATAATCAGAAATAAGAGTTAAAATATGGTTTGTCAGTGAAAGCTCTGTATAAATTTATATCATCTGAAACTCAGACAATAGCATTCAAATTTAAACACAACTTAAGAGCTTGTCATACAAACACACACACACACACACACACACACACACACACACACACACACACACACACACACACACACACACACACATATATATATATATATATATATATATATATATATATATATACACATATATATATATAAGGTCACCGTGTTTCTCCTTCATATTTTGCAGTCATAGTGGATGCTACACCACAGGTTTTTCCCCCACCATCCTGAAGGATTGACAGCAGCTTCAAAAGTAATTTTTATTCTAACTTAAACAATAATGAACAAAATATAGAAGGAGACTGAGATTCTGACCATTACTGAAGAATGTCACGTTCACGGTGACAAGCCAAATGCTTAGCTTGTAGTCATAAATGATTGTTTTAAATTCTGATTCCCGGCAGGAAAGTAATTCCTCTTTTAAAAGATGCAAAGTGCAGCCTTGGACTCGAACCACCCCTTTAAGCCGTTCCCTGGGCTTGAGAAAGACACAAATCACTCCCCTCCTGAGAGAGATGACCCGTTCTGCTGATTTAGTTCTCCAGCAGCTGAGAAGCAGACAGAATAGGAAACCAAACCAGTACAATCAGCATATTTATAGCTATTCTACTTCAGTAGAAAATGCTTTTCTACTGAATACACAAGTTGTACCAAAGCCTGCGTGTTCAGAGGTTTGTGGGTTCAAAAAACAAAGGAATGCACTAAAATAAGCTGAATCCGTTTTAGTTTTTACACATGAAAGCGTTTACTGACTAAAACTTAATCATCTTAATAAGACTTTTCCTTGCTGATTTAAATTAAAGCAAACATGCACATATATAATTCAGCTACTATCACAAGTTGATGCCGATGTCGTTAGTTTTAGTTGGGAAAAATTGTGTAACTCAAAATTTCAACATATGTGTTGAGGTCAGCTTGTTTGTTTCTAATAAATTTTTGCATCGTAGTGTCACTATTTCACAATTACCATTCAACTCTAACTAAGCTAGGCTAATCCTCTAAGTCGAATCAAGCCACTCCATGTGTGAACCCCTAATGAGCAACACACTTCCAACGCAATTTAAGGACAAAATACTTTCACACAATAATAAAAAAATCATTATCAAAGCAACTTAAGTCCAACTTCACATCAGTCCTTAGAAGTTACCCAGAATGTCTCGATATCAGCCAAGGTGAAGGTATGAGGGAGAAATGAATCACCTTACATCAGTGATGATCTCACCTGGCAGAACTTTTGGCAGCCGATACTGCCAGAGGAAGCAGCCTGTCATCACCAGTGACAGAGCGAGGAAGAAGACCAAACCCAGGTGGGTGATTTTCACCTTCATCCTGCTCGTCTCAGTGGGTTTTTCAAACGTAACCGTAGCAGCAACCACAGGAGAAGGAGGAGTCGTTGGCGACTTAAGTAACAGACAGAAAATCGAGACAAGAAGAAAACAGGGTGAGTTTGCTCAGTTTCACCAGTTTAACAGTATTTTTTCTATATTTGTGGTCACTAACTTTGACTTGATGCTTTCCTCCATTTTAAATTCCAAGCTAGTCAGACATCCATGCTAAAGCATTTCCCGGTGCACTTAAGAGTACTCACCACCTGATGCTTCACAGGCCAGATCAGAGCAGGATTACAAGAGACACTGAAATCTCCTTATCCCTCAATCAACATCATGAACATTCGCCCATCATGTTCTGACATGTAAGCACTTTCTGCTTCCCAAAGGCAGTAAATGGTTTCCCATGGAGGTTTTCCCGAGCAGGAGAAAGGCACAGACACGGACGCTCATCTCTGCTTTTTCACTAACTGTGCTGTAATCCTGCACCATCGGCACTCCTGTTCCTCTCAATTCAATTTCCTCTCTAGCAGCCACAGGCTGTTGACATCATAATCCCCAGATTTACTCCACCAAAGCGGCCAGGGAAATCTTAATCCCTAATCCCAGTGAATCAATTCATTCTAGTCAAACTTTGCCTCGTGGAGCGCTGCAACAGGGTCACATCAGCTGATATGGTGTCCATTCTGACCAACACAAATTGAGATGGGGTGTCAGGTTGAGGATGTTTGCCAAGTATTATTAAAGAAGTACAATCCCAGCCATGCCAACTGGATTACACAATTTAGGAAAGTAGAGAATTCAATGACAAAGGGAAACGAGCACTCAAGCTTTTTAAATGCAGTCACAGACAGCTTTAATACCACACAAATTACTACATGCAACAATATGGATTGTGATATTATAAATAAAATCCCTGAAGATTACACTTCTTATTCAACGTGGGAATAATTCTTGAGTAAACACAGAAGAAGCAAAAGCATTTGGAGACAACAAAGGTAAACAATGAATACTTTGTGAGTTTTTACTGATTGGATATTTTTAAGATGCCAGAATATTAGAGGTGCAATAGGTAAGAAGTTAGTAAGTATTACTTCCTGGTTCCAGCAAAGCTCACAATGTTTGCCAAGTCTTCAACACAAACACTTGATGCGCCGGCATTTGTAATTCGACACCGAGCTGCAAAACTCAGCAGCGCTGTGGACAGAATTTTAGTAAGAAAAGGAGCTGACCTGAAGGCCTTTATTGTACTGCTAAGATGCTACAACATCCTTTTTGTTTCCCTCTAAATCAGGTAAAAAAAGTCTACGGGGTAACCTTGAGCAAATAATGCTAACAGTGAACTAGAACAAAAATGGTCCCTGCTAAATTCAAGAGACTTTTTTCCAATTATTCAATAGTTGTGATATATATTTATCTACCTACAGTGTGTGACTCCTCATCACTAGTCATCTAGAATCTGGTTTCAATTCAAATCAGTTTACTTATATAGCGCCAAACCACAACAAGGGTTATCTGAACCCACTCAGTCAGTTCCATTCATTATACCAATTAGTGAAGTTTTCCATCTGAGGAAATCCAGCAGGTTGCATCGAGTCACTGACTTGTTGTGTCAGACTTTACAGCAATCCTTATACTACGCAAGCATGCAGCAACAGTGGAGAGGAAAACTCCCTTTTAACAGGAAGAAACCTCCAGAGGATCCTGGCTCAGTATAAGCAGCCATCCGCCATAACTCACTGTGGGTTTTAGAAGACAGAACAAACAAACAAACAAACAAATAAATAAATACATAAATAAATAAACTACTAGTAGTAGTACTTTCTGTGTTAAAGGAAGTAAAATGTTTATATCAGAAAGGTTGTGTCAGCTGATGGCCCTTCTGAATATTCTGGCACTGATCCACCGCTGTCAGCCACTCAGAGCGGACTCGTTTGTCTTGAAACCTGGACTGCAGTACCCACATTTGACCACAGAATGTCAATTTTACTTCTTGCACCTTTAAGTATAGTTGGCTGAGATTCAGGCTCTGGCACAGAAGGTTGATTCGATCAAGGAGCGAGTTGACGGGACAGCACTGTTGGGAAAAGATTAATTTATGCCATTATTGGATTTAGAGGGGTTGGAGACCAACAGAACTTTAAGACAGAGAGGAAATTATCTCTGTCTGGCCCCAAAATCTGGTGCTCTTGAGCCTGTGAGGCTGAAGTGATTACTCCCCCTCAGATGAAATGTGGAATGCTGCTGTCGCCATGGCAACTCTGTCTCCTATCCCAGCCTGGGCGGGACTGCGACCGGTGAAGGCTGTGGAACCGTTTCCAGGAGTCACTGTGTTCTCTAACCCAATTACCTCCCTCCCCTGTCCAAACGGGGGTGAAGAGCGCTGCTTATCGTGGCTGCATGCACTGATGTGCGGAGAGTCCCCAACCCTACCTCCCCACCTAGTGGACACTTATGTTGTGTAATGTCTGAAGTCTGTTGCATTTCTTTCTGAGGTGTTTTTTGCATAGCAAAGCTGCCCTCTCTGTGGAGGGTAACTCTGAAGTGCCTTTTTTTCCTCCACCTGACTCAATCCTCAAATAAACCCTCTGATCTCTATTAAGGTAGCGTGACTCAGGTTGCAAATGACCACAGTCACCAATTCTTGTCATGTGTCTATGTCTATGAATGTATGTCTGATCTCAGAATTGTGTGTACTGAAACCCTAACTTCCCTCTGGGATTAATAAAGTATCTTTGAATTTGATTTGATTTGAATTTTCCATAATTTTACCCCCAGATGTCAGTAATATTTAAATCTAGTTCTGTAAACTTTATGCTTGTCTTTGCAGGAGTCTCACACACACACACACACACTAGTTTCCCTTCATAGACACTTTTATAACAAGATAAAAGCTTGTTTTAGTTTTAAATGCTTTAAATTTGAAAGTATTCATTGAACCCCACATTTAAGCTCAGTCAGTTCATCAATTTTCCTCTGTAAACTAATTAAGCGTACAAAAAAAATTATGATGCTTTTAAAAAAAATGTATTCTTTAAAACTGTTTTCTTTTTATTATTGTGGAAAAAATGTTGACTTTGTGTGACTTGTGTTGTTATATTTGACAAAGTAAGTGAAATGTTTTTAAACTTATTTGAAAAATATAACTTTTTTCCACTGATGAGTTATTAGAAAATAAATAAATATCTTGATAGTCCAAAATCATTTAAACCCAACTGGTTTCAACCACTGGCCGTTCTGTTCTCTTCATCCTCTACACCGCTGAACCCAAATGGCTGAAATATTTGGTAGAGAGCTCACTAATGTATTTTGTTGATTATATGTTGTAATGCAGCAGTAAACGAGAGAAAGGAAAGTGTGAAAGCAAGCAGCAGCTGATCCTGGTTGCATAATCTCTGCTGTGAGAGCACGGCAGCTGGCCCATTTTACCAGCACAAGCACATCTCCAACCACCAGAGCACAATCCAGGGAGGGTTAATGCGCCTCTACTTAAATACAGGGCTAGTGCTTTTACCCCTGGAAGACGGTGTGCATCATTTCTGTTCGTATGGAGATGTTGCAGCATTTGTAAAATATGTTTGATGTATTCTTTTACCTGTGGTTGAACCCCATCCATCGAGGTTTCCTGCAGAACTTTACTCCCCACCTTGCCCATGGCTTTACAGGAAATCCTGTTATGTGAAAAGCAAGGAACAAATGTTTATTGCATCAGTACAAAATGAATAAACTGACTTTTTACAATATTATTTTCATAAAATGACCCGTGTGCAGCTCAGGAGCTCTTTCTACTTTTGAATTCATATTTGAAAGAGCTGTTTATATTTTCACGCTAGTAATAGGTTTTTATAATTTTGCTCATGAAGGTTGGTACAATAAAAAATGATGCACATCTGACATAAAACCACCATTATTTGAGCACATTTTACACTCTGCAGAGACCAACACAAGTGTTTGGGGATCAGGGGACAAATAAACATGAAAATACAATTTTGTCCAAATTCTTCTCAAAGGAAAGCCGTCAAAAGCAACAATGCAACGATCAGTAGAATTTCAAAGCTGTGGAACTGAATTGTTTTAATTCTATTTGATCAGTGTATGAAAACGTTTTAGTTTAGTATAAGTCAGAGGAAAATTAGGCTACTGATGAATAACGCTTCTGCAGAAAAACAGCAGGAAAGGCTGGGAGCTGTGGTGAATAATACATCTGTTTATCTTTCACCTGAACTTCTCTACATGGGCAGAGACTCACGGGGTGAATGCGCTGGTAATGGTCAAAGTTTTATGTGTGCGTGTGAAGTTTGTAGTTTGTGAAACTGTGTTTTTTAGTGCAACAGGGACAGTTTTGTTAGATTTTTTGTCAAACTTTAACAATCCTAAAGATTCAGTCCAAGACAGCGCTAGAGAAAATAGGCTGGCTTAAAAAGGAAAAACATAATAAATAACTGATTCAAAGCTGCTGCTGAATAATGCAATAAGAAAACCATAAATCAGCTGTAATCAACAAATGGCAGATTTTTTAGGTCAGTTGAATTGTATTGGAGTTTGTGGTTTTTTCAGATATTTGAAAAAAGCAAGCCTAGTTACCCCAAATGGGCCTTTGATAGAAGAAGTCTGGGGAGAAGAAACGATCCACTGCAAACAAAGAAGAAAAGGACAAAACAATGTGACGGTCATCCCTAACGAGGCAGGATGGTCTTTAAAACTTCAGAATTTTCTCCAAACGTAACATTCTGCTAAATGTCTAAACAACCACAAACACTGATATATCCACAGGACTGACAACCTAAGTAAGTGTGATTGTTTTGCATGAAAGAGAAACCAAACAACAACGACTCAAACATATGGCACACAGAACCAAGATTCTGCTGTCCATCGACTTGATACTGATAAAGAGGTGAATAAAGGCTATCATTGTCTAAGGTCAGGTCTGAGGTTACGGCTCTGAACCAACTTCAAAACAATGCACACCTTAAAGAATAATCATATTTCAGACTACAAACTCCCTAATGACCTCCTGAAGGGAGAACTCAGGCTGGGATTTTCAAACCAACACGGCAATAGAAAGCTTTCTATACTAATAAAAGACTTGGTACTCAAAGCCATTTCTGAGGGAATTTAGAAAGTTTCTCAGATGAAAAAGAAAATTGGCTTCAACATAAAAACAGTTCAATTTTTCTTAAAGCTGACAATGTGGGAAATAATGTGGGTGTGTGTGTGTAGTCACACTCATCTCGCCTTCCTCAACCGTGTGAAGAGGGTCAGATGTGTGTGTCTCAATGCATGAGAGTTGGCAGCCCTGAGTTGGTAATTGAAAGAGTAGCTTGAGATATTTTAGAGCCAACTATTTGCTTCTAATTCATCGTAAGCAATGCCAATTTTAAGCCAACGTGTTGCATACTGCTTGGAGTATGTGGTAGGAGGCACTCTCAACCATGGCATCATATTGTGGCACAATCTCCGTAAAACCGTTTTTCTTTATAAAACTTCATTTGAGTTGACTAAATAATATGATTGCAAATTATTATTTCATAAGAATTTTTTTCCAGACTGTGGTCTGTGCTATGGTTCATGAGGTAATTATCTCAGATGCACACTCAAATCAACCATGCCTTTGGTAGCAGGCAGGGAAAAGATAGCAAGTTCACGAACCTTTCAGTTTTTATGGTATACAAAATGTGATTTTTAGTAATCTGATGACACACTCACAACACCACAGACACATTTTATTTTTGTTTCACAAAGTCTGAATTGTTGTCACTTCCCTAAAATCTCAGGAGTTTTTTGGGTCTAAGGCAACAACAACAACAGAAGACCAAAAGTCTCAAGTCTCCTTTTGCAGAGAAGGAAATTTTTCATGGAAAACTATTTATACCAATGAAAAGACATCTCTGTCTACTAAAAATACAACAAAAAATACCAAGCTTGTTTGTTCCTCTGGTCCACTTCTCTGGTGCAGCCTCTCAAGTGGATAGCTAGTGCTGAGTACCTGTTTTACTAAGTTTTATTTTCCTCCACATCATCATTCTGTTACTCCGACAGCTGACAAAACTCTTGGATCTGACTTTCTGGTCTCATTCTCCAAAACATTGATCCTTGTGATACCTGGTGTAACTAAGCTGGTGTTCTTGAAGCAATCACACCTAACATGCTTTTCAAAATAAGTCTTAAGTAGAGATTTAAATCTGCCCAAATGTTAAAGGTCTTATATCATGCAAAGTCCCCCCTTTAGATTTTTTTGACCATGTGTTATTATTATTTCCTCATGAAAAACATCCCTGAAAGCAGATTTTGGCTCCACACAGCATTTTCCTGGGGAGTCACTCGCTCTGGTGATTGTTCAGATTGTCTGGGGGCGGGACTGCCGGAGCCTAAGCTAGTCTAACACTCTTAGGGTGTGTCCAGATCAAGCCCCCACAATGGAGCTCTAAAATTGAGGCCAACCTGGAAGTACCAAAAATTGCAGTTCCACCCTCATCCGCTGGGGGCTGGTGTCAGAAGCGAGCAAATCCTCATTGACTCCTGGCACCAAAACATGATTTTGGTTTAAATTATCTAGTTTACACTCATGACAACTCTGAGGGGGGTGAATTTTTTCTCACTCTTCTGTTTAAGTGTATTAAAAGCCTAAAATTCTGTATAATTAATGAGCATCCGACCCACGTGACCACAGAACTAGCTCCGTGGAAAGGCCTCAGTAGAGCCTCGGTCTGGCCTGGAAACTGCTCCGGGATTTTGAGTCTCTGTGTTTGTGTATTCTTGTTTGGATATTATTTGTGCAATTGTTGGACAAAATGACTTGCTGTGGCATTAATTGCACTAATAGAGCGACCAAGGAGTCTCCACTTCATTTTTTTCGGTAAGTAAAATTATATTTATGTATTTTAGGTCACCGCCGAGCTGAGCTTAGATTTTAACATGTACTGTTTAACCATGAAATTTAAATGTCATAGGGTAAAACCCAGTGCATTTAACATAATGCTGCACTTTAGAAAATGGGTCGAAATATAACATGTTGGTGGAGCTGGATTCCGACTATCAGTTTGTGGAGCTCTGGGGAGACCTCTGTTTTCCACCCGTTTCTCCCCTGGCTTCGCGGCTTCTGTCTGCTGCGCGGGCTGCCGGCTTGTGTAAACCTTTCCACCCGGTTCTCCCCAGCGGCAGCTCTGCGCATCTCAGATCGCAGCGGCGCTTGTCTGCTGTGCAGCTGCCAGCTTGTGGAGCTCTTGGAGACCTCTGTGTTCCACCCGGTTTTACCCAGCGGTCAGCCCGGCGTATCTCTGACTCAGAAGCTCTGGTGTTGTGCACAGTTAACTCCGGTTGTAGCTAGGTTGCTACCTTTGTTAGCTTAGCTCCCACCTCCACGTTAGCTTTGGGTTAGCCAGGGTTAGCTTGTAGCTAGTTCGACCGGGTGTCGTCAGTTGATCCCAGCCTTACAGCCCCACCCTCAGCTCCTCCTCTGTTCCCTTTTGTGGAATTGTCTGGGCTTGGCGGAACCTGTGACACAGTCAAAATGGTGGTGGTGGCCACCTCCCATTTGGCCTCAAAAACGTGTTATTGGAGTCTATGGAAAGGAGATGTCCAGTATATTTATGTCTATGGTCCAGATTCAGGCGCTGCTCCCTCCAAGGATACGATCTAGTAGAAGCAAGTGAGTTTTGACATCTAGATTTTAAATGTATTCCCACCCCTACCTTGGCGAATGTCCTGCCACCTAGCAACCGTGGTGACCCTGAACCGAAGCTACAGATTATGAAGCTCAAAATGATGCCTATAGCTTTTTAACCCTCTCGCTCAAAATAAGTTTTGATAAAAGGACAAACAACTAAGTCCTTCAGGGGTACTTCTGAGTTAAGAAATGCTCATGAAATACGTTGGTGGAGTAACCAGGTAGGTAGGTTTTAACGTTGCAAATCTGCAACACCTTCCTCCAGAGGGTTAAAGTCTTTTTTAAAAGCTGCAAGAGTTACAGCAACTGTACTTAAAATGAGAGCTTGATTCAAATAATTTGGAAGTTTAAAAGTTACTATTGTTTAAAAGAACTTCTAACCCTTTTAAGCGTATAAATGTATGACTGTATAGCTGGACAAATCTCCCGTTTGGTCCATGGTGCATCTTGGGATATGGCGAGTTGAAGGAAACATCGGCCCTGTCCTTCAAATCGAAGGAAAAGAGAATTTGCAGGAGTCTTTGAATTTGGACAGCCTTTGTCACGGCGCTGTGGCGTAATCCACCTTAAAATCCGGTCGACAAAGGATGCAGCCAGCAAATTTGGACACACTCTCTTAGCGTACGCTAGTTTAAAAACTTTCAGCCGCTTTTCCACCCCTGTAGTGATGGGATTCATGGCCTTTTCATGGGAGCCGTTAATTAGTCATTCGTTTACCGCAAAGAGCCGTTCAAAAGTCTGAGTGGAGTTGCGTTTTCTCCCCATGCATGCGTGGGTTTCCTCCGGGTACTCCGATTTCCCCCACAGATCACAACATGCCCTATAGGTTATAAATTGTAAGTCGCTTTGGATAAAAGTGTCTGCTAAGTAAATAAACATAAACAATAAACATAAAAGACTGGCTTC